GCTGCATGAATATAAGGAATGTAGGAGTATGTTCCGTCAGTCTTCTGCCCTCAACGGGCACCTGAGGCGTCACACCCTAGAAGATGAATAAAAAAACCTGGTCACGTCCCCTCGGTGAACCGCCATTCTCTATTGAAGAGAGAGCAAGAAATTTGCAGAGATCTCTGGGAATTCATGCTTGAAGCTGGATCGATTTGGCAGCACTGTGTTAAAAGGATCCTCTGAGGTTTTTGGTGGGATTTTTTTTTTTGGGGGGGAGGGAGGTTGTTGGATGTTTTTTTATTTTGTGTATGTGGGATTTTGCAACTATTGTTTCCCCAGATCCATGTTCACAGTTTTCTAAGTGACAACGTCATTGACTCTTACCAGGAAAGCTTGAGGGATTATTGACAGGGGAAAATGCCTTTTGAAAAAGTTTGCATTTGGACTATTTCTATGCAAATAAAAAAGATATCTCATTTGTGCAAGAGGTTTTAGGTTATTCATGGCTTTTCTTTTGTTGTGTGTCCTTACAAAGGGGACTTTTATCTCCTGTCTCTTTCTGGGTGATACTTGGTGAGCATGGAAGTATTCCACTTTGCATTATGGACTTGACTCTCACAGCAAAGCGGGTCCAGGGAATTTGTCCAGCATTGTGGGAAGCCAAATATTATATGATAAACCGTGTGATAAGCTTGATCGGGAAGGGAAGGAAACACAAAATAAAAGCTGAAATTCCTCTTGTGACCAGTCACAGCAAAGGAGCTACTTCCTGCAGATAAGAGACAGCTACAAATGAGGGAGCGTTAAAAGTCAATACTTGTGAATGACTTCCTTCCTGAGCTAAGCTTTGGGTTGACAATAAAGAAAAACTCAGCTTCATTTACAAATCACTTCTCTTGATGATTCACTTCCCGTGATTCTCAATAAAGGCAGAGAGGCATGGCTGGTGGAACTTCCCTGTTTTTATAGTCTCTGTTTTATCTCCTTCTTGCTGTTGTGTCTCATTTTTTAATATTTTACCCGCGGTCAACAACACAAGTGCCTTGTTCATGCTCCACAAAAAACCAACACATTGAACAAAATTACGAAATCTCTGTAGTGTCCATTGGTTAAAATGTCATAGTGTACTATTAGATTTCAGGCACATCTTTTTCATGAAATAGCGCCCAGACTGAAGACCAAGAGAGGCTTCCATTGAAAAGGGTCACATTTCCATAGCAATTTCTTCAATCGTGATGAATGGTCAGCTAAGAATGGCTTTGGCCATGACAGCATCAACACTCAACACTTTAACCTTTGTCCAAACAGAGCATGTTATGTGCTTTTCTCATGAGTAACACAGTGTGTAAAGATGTGGCAAGCCACATGCTTAAACAGGAACGAGGCGGAAAACAAGTCAGATTTCCTTAAGATCTCGAGATTTGAAAGGAACATCGTACTTGAACAGGGAAGGATTGGCAAAAGAGATGAAAACCCTTGATGACCCGGATTAACAAAGTGAAGCTAGCAGTGATCTCTACTCAAAGGCAGTGAACAACAGTAGAATATTTACTTATGTAAGAGAAGAAACCAATTAGTACTAAGAAATCTATGCTCAGAATTCAAAACCAAATTTTAATTTCTGGAAACTTTTCACCAAGTACATTGATTCTTGGTTTCCGATACCTTGAAGACTAAAATAAATCTCACAAACTTTTCTCGTTTAACTTGACCTTCGAGCAGTTGACAGGCTCCGGACCTGAGTGCAACTTCACAGCCTCCACCCTTCCATGCTCGGACTTTGGACCTGTGCCTTCCAATCCCAGACCAGCCCCTTTCACTTCCCTGGAGGCCCCAGTGCATAGGTGCAAGCTTTTCTGGATATATGGTCATGAGTTTGTGACAAGCATCTCTCCTGCACACAGGTCAATACAATGGGGAAATAAGCGTGGTTCTCAACTTTGGTTCTTCAAATGGGTGACACCATGCATCTATTAAGAACAGCCCATTTTGTGAGGCTCACCTGTTTTTCTGTTTTGACTAGATGAGGAAGAGCTTAGGGGAAATAGATGTTCAGTGCTATCCAGTTGTAGGCAATTCATATGAACAAAAGACCTGGACACCAGTCTAAATTTGTTTGTTTCTCCAGGCGCATAGGGTTTCCAGAGGCAAGCTATTATGGAAGTGGAATGCATTCCTGCTTCCAAGCTTGTTTTAATCGGGGAGCTCCACCCAACACTGTCCGCCATGGGTGACCATGCTCACAATTGACACATCAGTGTCACAGAGTTCAGCTTCACAGCCACCATGAGTTCCCTCTGGACAGCAAAAAGATTCTAAATGCAAGAGTGAGAACCAAAGCTCAACGTTACTAATTAGGGCTTGGTTTCCCCCCAGAGGCCTTCTTCTGAGATTCTGAGCTTGAGGGGACAGCATAAACCCCATTTTTTCTAAACCCCCATTAATAGCAGAAGTGGGCTGTAAAAATTCTTAGCTTAAGGCAAAGATGAACACCCTGGGTAAAGTCTTATCTGTCCTTGCAAAGTAAAGATTTTTAACTACTGTCTATGTGACACCAAAAGAGTAAAGGCAGGCAAAGTAGCCAGCCTGTCAAAAGCTGACCCACCAACCACGATCTCAATCTCCCCACCCCGACAGTGGAACCCAGGAAAACCTTAAAAGCAATTGCGGAGGAGGACTCGGGGGCTTTTTCCCTCGCCACCTTCCTGATGAGGGAGAAAGTTTCCATGTGTGGATATACTCTGGAATAAAGTGCTTTTTTTGTTATTTGCATACGTGTGGATTATTCTTTTGAGGGGCATTTCGTGGGCAAAAGAAGCTGATGTCTCCTTAACGGGTTGAGCACTCTTGAGATGCGTTCTGAAGGCTCTGGAATGTCTCTAAGGATATCAGAGGAATTCTTGCAAACACGGGACTTTCAGGAAAGCCAAGAGTCCCAGCACAACCCCTGGATCACAGTGATCAGACAAACCCATCCGTTCTTGAGATAAGATGTTGAACGCACAGAGCCTTGGGTAGTCAAAGAGAACCTGTCTGAGCAAAACTCCTGTCTTTCTGTATCCTCAGAAAGGTGTAAGTGACTTCTACCTCCTTCTGTAAGAAATCGGAAGCTGAAATGGCTCCGTTTTGCTGTCTGCCTGGCCAAGCACCAGCCCTCGAGCTCATTTCTTGTGACCCTGTTTTCATTCGATTAGAACAACACAGAGCTGCTCACAAACTTTTGATGTCCTCAGTGGCTGTTGCCACTTTTGTCTTCATCACATTAGGCCTGGTCGTTTCCCCCCCCAGCAGGGAGTTTGGTTTCCCCCTCCCCAGTGTTCTCACATGCGTGGCTTTTTTGTGTGGTACCTAGAATACCAGAAACTGGAAGCAGACGTCTGGCAAGTTACCATGTCAACAACTATGGTGATACACACCGCGGTTCAGTCTCTAAATCTGCAATCCTTCCCCCCTGCCCAGACACTGTTCTCTCCCTCATCTTACATACTTCTGTCATGGACGCAGGGGGTGAGACACTTTAATAAATAATCTCTGAAAAACTGGCTAGACTTTTTTGTTTTGTTTTAATGAGCCTCTTTAGCCATTTTCCAGTGGGACCTGATGACACTTCTGCTAAGTAAAACACACACACACAGACAAAAAGAGTCACAGGGCAAAAAGTAAAAAAGCCAAGGCCCTGAGTGTTTGTTTTTCTCACCATATATATAGAGAATACAAGTATTCCATTATTATCAAAATAACTAGACTTCTTGCTACACAGCAAAGAATAACCTCAAAGACCCTCACGTAATTATATCTATAAAATACATCTATATTTTCTCTGTAGCTAGAAATGATGGTGTCTTTAGCTATCCAAGAACCAGAGCTTTTAATGATAGATACATCTAAGAAACATACAAAACAGCTTTTCCTTTTCTGCACATTCTCAAGGATAGTAGCTTCGAATTAAGCTGTGTTTTCCACAAGCTCGCAAGGACATTAGTTTCTCTTTAACAAAGCCTTCACAGCTGCTCTTCTGGGTTTTGGGAGGTTTGATGAATGCATCCTGTTTTCTTGGTCCAGTTTGCATACTTGTGCAGGAAGCTGCTTTCAGTTGACTTCCTACTGAGTGTTCTCTCAGCCGTACTCCAGACTTAATCACTGACAGTCATTCAAGGCATAGTGGCTTCAGAAACCCTCACATTGCCCCCTAATTTGTTAATAAACAAGTGATACAACATTCTGTTGAATATTCTCTTTTGCTACTTCTTGCTTGAGGATGCAGTATCCTGTAATAAAGAAAAAAGTTATTAATGAAATAGAAGCACTGTCTACACTATGTACCAAACTTTGCTCCCCAAGAACAGGGATCTATTCCCAATACAACTGTTAACTCTTTCCTGGGCAAGATCTTGATATGGTACTCCAGACAATTTTTCTACAAAATACATAACATACTTGTTGCCTTCATTCTTGAACATCCAAGGACACATTTCCTCATAAATCGTGTACATAATGTTTTATCCGACCCCATGTATATTTGGAAGCATTTTATGAGGCTGGAGTCACACGAGAGCTTGTTATATTCCAATTACATTTCATATCTAATTGCTTTAGTATGTCAACCACTTGATCAACAAGCAAGTCTGAGATTTTCTCTACAGCCTCAGCAGAATTGAAATCATTATACATTTTTTAATATAT